CCAAAGCTTTTGCACAGCAAAGGAAACCATAAACAAAATGAAAAGACAACCCACAGAATGGGAGAAAAATATTTGAAAACAAAGCAACTGACAAGGGATTAATCTCCAAAATTTACAAACAGCTCATGAAGCTCAATATCAAAAATAAAACAAATAACCCAATCAAAAATATGCAGAAGACCTAGAGACATTTCTACAAAGAAGACACACAGATGGCCAAGAGGCACATGTAAAGACACTCAACATTGCTAATTATTAGAGAAATGCAAATCGAAACTGCATTGAGATATCACATCACACCAGTTAGAATGGCCATCATCAAAAAGTCTGCAAACGATAAATGCTGGAGAGGGTGTGGAGAAAAGGGAAATCTCCTACACTGTTGGTGGGAATGTAAATTAGTACAGCGAGCATGGAGAACAGTATGGAGGTTCATTAAAAACTAAAAATAGAGCTACCATATGATTCAGCAATCACACTCCTGGGCATATATCCAGAGAAAACCATGGTTGGAAAGGATACATGCACCCCAATGTTCACTGCAGCACTGTTACAATAGCCAAGACAGGGAAGCAACCTAAATGTCCATCAACAGATTAATGGATAAATAAGATGTGGTATATATATATAATGGAATAATACCCAGCCATTAAAAAGAATGAAATAATGCCATTTGCAGCAACATGGATGCACCTGGAGATTATCATACTAAGTGAAGTAAGTCAGACAGAGAAATACAAATATCATATGATATCGCTTATATGCGGAATCAAAAAAAATGATACAAATGAGCTTATTTACAAAACAGAAACAGACTCACAGACTTAGAGAATAAACTATGGTTAGCAGGGGGGATGTGGGGGGGATAGATTGGGAGTTTGGGATTGACATACACACACTGTCATATTTAAAATAAAATGCCTTCCCATGAAAAAAAAAGAGACAGAGGAGCAAAATACTCTTCACCTAAATGCAATTACTTTTGAATCATATAGATGAAGAACTGTGGCTTGTTGTTCTACATCCATATTATCCCAATGAAGAAAATACTGCCTAGTGACTAATGATTTGGCAATCGCAAGTGTTCATTTTATTTGCTTGTTTCTATAACTTGTGCACAGAATAATGCCACAGAGGAAAATCACATATATTTCATTTACTATATGGACAATCCAAGCTACAACTAGTTTATGTTTTAGCAGTCATAAAAGAGATCATTTTACAAAAGTTAGACCATAAATAACACCCTCAGAAATATACAATCTATCTATCTACCACAATCTTAAAATTTCTACATCAAGTACACCTAAAATGCATAGAGACTGTGAAATGCAGATTATTATGGATCTGAGGAAAAGAAGTATGGGAAGAAAGCTCCAAACCAGTTATAATTCTCCAAGCTATCATCTCTCTAGCAATCCTGATCAAAGGCCAATGTTGATTTTTGTTAAAAGTTATTGAAATTTATTAAGTTTATTTTAGGTTCTGTGCTTACTAGTCTTTTTCCATTAAATGCAAACTTACAGGACATTACAATTTCGAGGAAAAATATGGCGTATATTATTTTGTTACAATAGGTCAAAACATGCACAAACAGTTTTGAACAGGCAGAAATCACTTCCTACTGACAAACAACTTGGGAGGTGCATTCTTGCTAAATGGTTTTCATAAAAAAAAAAAAGTATTAAGACCTGAATTTTCACCTTGACCTATACTAGACCAGTTCCAAATCTGCATCTTCTCTATCTTCCTGGCCTTCAGTGAATTTAGCCTACTTACTGACATTCACCTTTAGACATGCTATCCCTCCTCTATACTAGCTCCTCATTTTTCTATTCTCCTGTATGTATATGCCCAAGCAATTCCACTTACAGGACTTACTCCCTTCTGTACCTCTCATCTCATGTTCACATTTATCTCTGCACGCCTCCTAGATGTCATGCATCACTGGGACAATGTATTTCTTTAAACATATGTCATTTGGATTCAAACAGCTTGTGTTGAATTCAAGCTCTGTGGCTTACTATTTGTGTGACCTTGAGAAAGTTGTTTAACCTCTCTGAACCTGTATTTCCTTATCTTGAAAACAGAGATAATCATAGTATCTAACTCATAGGACTAGAAATTGCCAAGAAAAAATGAGATTCTACCCGACACACTTAAGTGTTCCTACTTACTAACACTATTATGGCTACTATCAAGAAATCCATTGCAAAAACTAATGTACCTTGGGCTTCCCTGGTGGCGCAGTGGTTGAGAGTCCGCCTGCCGATGCAGGGGACACGAGTTCGTGCCCCAGTCTGGGAAGATCCCACATGCTCCGGAGCGGCTGGGCCCGTGAGCCATGGCCACTGAGCCTGCGCGTCCAGAGCCTGTCTTCCGCAACGGGAGAGGCAGAAAAAAAAAAAAAACAAACAAAAAAAACCAATATACCTTCTTTCAACTCTAAACTTTTTTTTTTTTTTTTTGCGGTCCGCGGGCCTCTCACTGCTGTGGCCTCTCACTGCTGTGGCCTCTCCCGTTGCGGAGCACAGGCTCCGGACACGCAGGCTCAGCGGCCATGGCTCACGGGCCCAGCCGCTCCGCGGCATGTAGGATCTCCCCGGACAGGGGAACGAACCCGTCTTCCCTGCATCGGCAGGCGGACTTTCAACCACTGCGCCACCAGGGAAGCCCTCATTTATAAACTTTTGAGAAGCAAGTGCTATACCTCTGTATTACGGCAGAGTTGAGTACAAGTTTGAAAAGTTTTTTTTTTTTAAATTGGTCTATGAAGGAAAGGGAGTCTTAAGGTCACACTAAGTTGCAATCATCATAGATCCTCCCTTGCCTGATACAACATCTAGTATTGGTTATTTTTATGAAAATCACTAGCAGGAGTAAGAAAATAGTCAAAGATTCATAATCCAAAACCAAAAGCTTTCTTTTAAATGCTCTTCAGAAAACTACACTTAGTCACTTATAGAAGCATCTCACTTTGTACAATTGCTGGATTCGTGTTAGGATGTTTGCCCCAAAATTTCTAAACCGTATGTTAAAAACAACATGACAGCTTTCTTAAAGGAAAAAACCTTAGTATTGCAAGCTGAAGAGTCCCCATTTATGTTACAAAGGAGCTCTTCTGAAGTATACTCATTTTATCCTGTTTTAATATTATTTAAAAGTACTATAAGATTATAATACAATAAGAATTTATTTTGGCAATATGCAGTAGAATTTTGATATCAGGTTCATAGGAACTATAATTACTGCAACAACAAACAAATTTATAATTACCCATAAGAAAAACAATTGAAACAAAACAAAAAAAGCATAAATATTTCTTATTTGCATAGTCTTCAACAATGGAATCTAATAATGTACATAGTAGGAGACAGTAGTCATTTTTAAGGCCCTAAGAAACTTAAGTCTTAACAAAGAGAGAGGTATAGTTGTTCTTATTTGAATAGAAATTCTGAAAGGAGTTTCTTCTTGAATCTGCTTTTCAGGGAGGGGTAGAAGAGCAAGAAAGCAAAGAATAAATAGCAGTACTGAAACTGCAGGTCACCCAAAGTGAAATCACCAAAACTAGCTTCCTGATCTGCCCAACCTAATTAGGGATTTAACTAAAGGTATTAAGCTGATGTTTTAAATTTTACAATTATTTTATTGGAATTGAGACTCTGGGCAGCTTTAACATATTTTAAATATCATAATATATATGGAAAATAATAAGGCAAGAGGCTCATAAAGTGAAGTTCAAAGACAATATAAAAAGTTTTCTTTTTTCCAACCTAAACTTGCTCCAAAAGTGTAACTTTAAGTATTCTATTTCAAAACTGTCTAAACACACCCACAAGTGGTAGCCAGAGAAGACAAGTTGAAGGTTCAAACTCCTTGTGATTTCACGCAACTTTCAGTTCTATTCCAAACCCTCTTAGGGGGTAAACAAAACAAAAACAAAAACACAACAGCAACAGAAAACATGGGATAGCTGCTGCTCTGAAGCTCAGAAGAGGGAGGGGGTTCATACATTCTACATTCTGATCCCACACATCTGCTCTTGCCACTGTTGGCTTTTCTCCTGAGCTGTGAAACACAGAGACACTTTCATTTACCATGAATATACACTCTGCTTTCACTCCAGCTTAGCCTATTTCTCCCCACAACTGGTGAAAATTGTTATTCTAAATTAAGAGCACGGGGGATGAGAGAGGGTTTCCCTATCATTTGAAGAAGCCACCACTGGAATCCGCAAATACACAAGAAGGCACTTGTTAGTTCCCTTCCAGTTCTCAATGTATTTGAAGCAGTTAGAAACTGTTTGAAGTAGCATCTTTTGAAAGAAAAGAAAAGGTCAAAATAAGGGACAATATGGAAGGGAAAAACAGGTCCCTTGTTACATTGTTTAAAAGGAAAACCCACAACTTTATATCATTGTTCCCAACTTCTACTCCCATTCTGTCTAGTTCTAACAGACTCTTTAGGCTGAAGTTAAATACCCCCTCCTACACAGTGGCAAAATATAACTATTTGATTACAAGGGTCTCACTCTGTGAAATATAATCACAGTGCCTCAGTAGGCCTCCACTCAGTCATCATCAGTAACAGCATGTTTTACATCCTTTACAGATGTGCACTCCTGCCCCTGCCTCAGTACCTACAGCAAATATGTGAAATGTCCCACTCTTGAAACTTACCAGTGTGAGACTTTCTTGACTTCTTCACCTAACCCCAAAGACCCTATACCACCATCTCCCATTTACCAAAACTCGGTAGCTTTCTTTTTTCTTCAGAGAAGAAATGTGGGACTAACATCACTAGGCAAACAAAGCTAAACTCCATGGAAAAATGAAATCGATGCAACAAAGAGAAGAAAGGGAAGAAGGGGGTGGGGTGGGAAATGCGGGTGTCTAACGAAGGAGAAACTGCCAGACTAACTTCTGCAATTTAACGGTTCTGGGGCAGCAGGAGACTGATGTGTAGAGAAACAACAAAGGTGGGCTTCCCACCCTCCTTACCGCCGTGGAGCCAGAGGAAGATGCAATATACACACGGATCACCATCTTGGTTGGGAACAGCGGCTGTAGTTGTTTGAGTCCTGCAAACGCCTGGAAAGCAGCTGCAGCAAAGGCTGGAATCAAGCTAGGGGCCTTACAGAGGTTGGAAAAGAAGGGTGGGGGAAGGTAGAAGGGGAACTCGCCAGAGCCCCGCCTCCTCCCTTGGCTGCTTTCACTGGGCTCAGAGGGCGGCAGTCCCAGCCCCAAACCCCGGAAGGCACAGGCTCGTTTACATCATTTCTAAATTTTTTTTTTTAATTGGGAATCTCGAATAGCACCGCGAGATCTGTTGAAACATTTATTTTTGACCATTCCTTCTCTGAGAAGAGGGAAAGGAGAAAGAAAAAGAAAGAGAGAGCGTTGAATTAAATTAGATTGCAATGAAGGATATTTTCCCACGTAGACTCAAAGTTCTGCGTGTAACTTCCTGCTCAGAAGTGTATGCAAATAAGATGTCTTCTTTAAAAGAGGAAGTTCTGCGTTGAATCCAGACACTAGTGATAAAGACCAAGTTCTCAAAGCCTTGTGCATTTTAAGACTCCTATTACGTAGTGATTGTTCTGATGTTAGCTGGTGGCAGGAATTGGACTTTGAAGCACTGAGCGCTGCCTTGGAAGGTTTAGGAAAAGTGTCAAGTTTCCCAAAGCCCAGAAACAGCAGGATTGGTTTTCTTTTTGAGTTTTGCTTTTTGTTAAATTACGGAATCCTGCTTCCGTGAGAATTTGCAGGAAACCTGATTGACTGGCAAACTCAAGAATGGAGGAAGAAACTGCAAATCAAAAAAAAAAAAAAAAAAAAGGAAAATACAGTGTAAGAACGTGAAAGATTTCTGTTACGTTTTGTTTGCTTTCTAACTGACTGGGGAAAGGGAGTTTGTATCATATGTTGCAGGAGATGTGGAAATGGTGAACAGAGAGAGCAAATGGTTATTTGTAGCTCTAGGGAAATGAGCAAACAATTGGTAATGCCCAGAGAGGGACTATATACTTCAAAAGTGTAATTTCACCTTCCCAAATTATGTCAAATGAACAGAAATAAGGAACTTGCAAGATGAATGAGAGTGGAGAAAGGGTGTCAGTCGCCTGCCCTACTTCTTTACCTTTACTTTGAAGTTTGTCCTCCCTCTCCATTCTAGTGATTTATCATCTTTGTCTAGGTTCAGTAATTGTAACAGCTTCCTAACTGTTCCCTGTTCACAGATTCTCCCTTCTCCAAACTCTGTGATCCATACAACAACCTCAAGAGGTGGATATTATCACATCAATTTTTCAGATGAAGAAACAAACCCAGGAAAATACTTTTCCTAAAGTTATTTAGCTAGTAAATTCCAGAGTTAAGATTGGTCTTCAAGTCCAACCAACTCCAAAGGCCACCCTCTTAAATATCATTTTAATACACTGCCTGTAACAGGGAAAGTACTCAACAATTGTTAGCTATTTTTCTTCCTAAAATATCAGTTTCATGTGTCACTAAAGACAATGTAAGCTGAAATACTTACGATAGGTTTCCAGGGCTTCCCTGGTGGCGCAGTGGTTGAGAGTCCGCCTGCCGATGCAGGGGACACGGGTTCGTGCCCCGGTCTGGGAAGATCCCACATGCCGTGGAGCGGCTGGGCCCGTGAGCCATGGCCGCTGAGCCTGCGCATCCGGAGCCTGTGCTCCGCAACGGGAGAGGCCACAACGAGAGGCCCGCACACAGCAAAAAAAAAAAAAAAAAAAAAGATAGGTTTCCATTGCTAGATTATGTTTCTAAAGTGCTCCCACCGTAATCTGGCCCTACACTATCCATACAGTCTTACCCATTGCTCCCCCAAACTAACTTCCTTGAATAATCATTGGTGACTCCCCACTGCAATAACCATACTTATTACCATTTCCATGCCTTTGCTCTTCCTGTTCCTTTCTTTGCCTTTTCCCCACATCGTCATACTTTTCTGCCTTCTCCATCTGTCCAACTCTTACCTTTATTAGATGCAAATCAAAATCTTTATACAAATGATCAGACTGAAGTAAGTCAGGGTGACCTAGCCACCCTCATCATGGTCAACATCAGGGTGACTGTTATTGTGTTTCCTAGACCACAGAACAGGAAAATCTTCCTTCAGGTTGTGATTTGGCATAATGGGCATAATTTGCCATGTAATAACATAATCTAACCTACCACCTCTCAGTGGTCAATATATATTCTATTTGGACCTATAGTTTATTTTGAATTGATAAAAAAATAAAGAGAAAGAAAGGAAAACTCTTCTATGTATTCTACATACGCATATGACAAAATTAACATCTCCAGAAAACTGAGTGGCAAACAGGATTAGCAATGAGTCCAGTGGATCTTATCAGGAACTTTGAGAAATGGGAAGACAATTCCTGGTGTTTCATTTCTTTTAAATACAGATGTATTAACCTAAGTGAAAATTTTCCCCATAAATTCATATATAAACAAAATCTATTGGTCCTTATTAACAATACTTGGGATACAAGGGGCAGGGGGGCTTTACCAATGATTTTATCCTAGAAAATAACATTGTAGGTTATATTATACTTGTTCCTTACTATAGTTAACCATCTCTGGAATGTACATTTTAGAATGGTCATTTTTGCTTCATTTTAATAGTTCATAGAGCAGTCTCCAAAACCATCTGTTCATATAATTCAACTGGAAAGGTTAAGGTCTGATTAAAGAAGATGGATCAAGGGTTTTCAAACAGTATTTGTGACCAATTGCCACAGGAAATCTATTCATTTGTTAATGAAATAATATTTTTCATAACTTATAAAATGATTTTATACTGTGTGCAGAAAACTTAACAAACATTGACAAGAAAAAAATCACCCACATTACTATTTAATATAGTAATACTACTATATTAAAAGTAGTATCTGGAGATAACTACTTTTAATATGGTGGCATAAGCCTTTCCAACCTAGTCAGAGATAGATAGATGAGGGTGGGTTGAGGGATTGAGAGAAGTGGTAAAGAGGAAGAGAGAGAGAGAATGTATTTTTCCAATTTATTACAAGATACATACTATTTTTTAATTGCTCTTTGTCACTTAGAAAATATATTTTAAAACTTAGCACAGGACAGAAAATATTATCCTACATGATTTTAATGGCTTTACATGATTCCATTTTACAGATGTACCAAAATGATTTAAACATTTCTGTATTATTGAACATATTGCTTGTTTTTAATTATTCTATGTAGTTAGGACTGCGGTATACATTTATCAATAAATCTTTGCCCACATCTCTAAAAATTTTTTCAAAGTAAATTCCTAGATGTGCAATTGCTGGCAAACTGGAGAGTTACTCCAGCCTATTGTTATAATGTTATAATTTGGACCCAGTATTGCCCTGATCTGAGAGGAAAAGAATGTTGATTTCATTGAAAAACTAGTTGATGTTTTCCCAATCACAAGAATTCGGTTGGGGAGGTTTGAGTAGAGGCTTTATGGCCATGGTTGTAGAGAATGGAATCTAAGGACAGTTCTTGGCAGGTTTTACTCTCCTCTTCTCCCTCACTGATTTTCCTGATATAAGTCCCTAACGTTTGGAACTTTGCTGAGGTGGCAGGTAAGTTCCTACATATACTTCCCTGCCCCATACCTCCTTAGATGCACCAGGCACTCATACTGGTAATGGCATTAGAATGAATACAGCACTACACAGAAACATACATTTTGGTTCTCTGTGCTGAATTTTTGGGCCAACTGCTGAGCTGGAGGGCATAGGACAGTTTCAGTGAGATGTACATACAGTGGTAGAATTGGGGTGAATGGCATGGGCACAGGTGAACAGATAGAATATGAAGGTTACAGAATTGAGGATATCTGTCACATGGAATGGTTTCACACAGGTGTCTAATAAATTCTGGTAGATATGGGTCGTGCATATGACATAGGATGTAAACTAGAAGACGTCTCACATCCAGAAATTCTACCTCAGGTTTCAATCTCCATGCTTCACTCCTCTGAAACATTTTTGCTGTATTCACTAGAGGTTCTGCTTTATGATGAGAAAACTCTCCCACATCAATGTTTCTCTGAATTTTCCTTCTATCTCCTTGCCTTAACTGATACCTACTTCGTCAGGACAGCTTTTACCTTTTGCAAGTGGAGACTGTTTATGTTCTCACAACCCTCTCAGGGTTAGTTGTCTCCAGGTGGGTTATTTTCATTCCGCATGCTGAAAGAGAAGGTCTGCCTAGAAGCTTCATTATCTTGCTCAGCAAATTCCCACTCTGGGCAAAAGCAGTGCTAACTCATCACTGAGCTCTTTGAAGTTAAAATTCATCCCCTTTTCTTTTCTTTTTTTTTTTTTTTCAATTTCACCTAAGTTGTGAATTTATTGGCATAAAGTCGTTCATAATATTGTCTTATTCTCCTTTTAATATGTGTAGAATTTTTAGTGGTATCGCCTCTCTCATTTCTGACATTGGAAATTTGCATCTTTATTTTTTTTTCTGATCTGTTTGGCTAGAAGATTATTGAGTTTGTTGGTCTTCTCAGGGAAACAGATTTGGATTTCACTGATTTTCTATCTTCTTTTTCAGTCATATTGATTTCTTCATTGATCTTATTTCTTTTTTTTTGCTTTAGCTTTAATATGAGTTTCATTTTCTAGTATCTTTTTTTTGAACTTTTTTTCTTTACATCTTTACATCTTTATTGGAGTATAATTGCTTTACAATGGTGTGTTGGTTTCTGCTTTATAACAAAGTGAATCAGTTATACATATACATATGTTCCCATATCTCTTCCCTCTTGCATCTCCCTCCCTCCCACCCTCCCTATCCCACCCCTCTAGGTGGTCACAAAACACTGAGCTGATCTCCCTGTACAATGCGGCTGCTTCCAACTAGCTATCTATTTTACATTTAGTACTGTATATATGTCCATGCCACTCACTCACTTTGTCACAGCTTACCCTTCCCCATCCCCATATCCTCAAGTCCATTCTCTAGTAGGTCTGTGTCTTTATTCCTGTCTTACCCCTAGGTTCTTCATGACATTTTTTTAATTCCATATATATGTGTTAATATATGGTATTTGTCTTTCTCTTTCTGACTTACTTCACTCTGTATGACAGACTCTAGGTCCATCCACCTCATTACAAATAGCTCAATTTTGTTTCTTTTTATGGCTGAGTAATATTCCATTGTATATATGTGCCATATCTTTATCCATTCATCCGATGATGGACACTTAGGTTGTTTCCATCACTGGGC